AATGCTGTCCTTGAGATGGAGGTGGGTGCAGAGCTTCTGGGGCCATTCTATGTCCAGGACTTGCTTGCCTGAACCAAGAACTTGTATAGGTGAGGGGAACAGAAGGCTGGGAGGCAGCGACTCCTTCCAGCCTTGGTCCCATGAAGGGGAAAGGGCTGGATGAAAATTATACTTTTGATTATTTTTTATTCAGTCAGTAGATAATTAGAAATGTTCCATATTTTATCAATTCCTTTGCTCATTTTACTTTATTCTAGTGCTATTTTCCCTTTATATAATGTATATCCTTTACAAGTTTATTTGGTGAGTCTAAACACTCAAAATTTACTTGTCTGAAAATTATTTTAATCTGCCATTGTTCTTTAAAGTTAGTTGATTGGTTTAAAAGTTTAAAAGAACAGGGGTTGGCAAAGTGGTTTTTTAAAGGGTCAATAATATTTTGAGTTTTGTGGGCCATATAGTCTCTCTCAAGTAACTAAATTAGTCAATTGGTAGTAAACAAGCAACCTCAGACAATGTGTCAACACGTGAGTGTGACAGAAGATCTTGTTGATAGACACCAAAGTTTGAATTTTATGTAATTATCATGTGTTATGAAATGCTAATTTCTTTAACCATTAGAAAGTGCAAAAGCCATTCAGCCGGTTTGTGGGCTGTGTAAAAACAGGCTGGAACCCTAGCCAGTTTGGCTCAGTGGATAGAGTGTTGGCCTATAGACCGAAGGGTCCCAGGTTCAATTCCAATCAAGGGTACATACCTTGGTTGCAGGCTCTTCCTTGGCATGGGCCCTGGTTGAGGCTTGTGTAGGAGGCAACCAATTGATGTGTTTCTTTCACATTAATATTTCTCTTTGTCTTTCCCTTTCTTTTCCACTCTCTCTGAAAACAGGCTGGATTTGACCTTAAGCTATAGGTTTTGCTGACCTTTTATCTAGATTAGCATTTATTTTACTTAGCACTGGATATTTGGTAGTAATCCTTTATAATAAAAGGCTAGGTGGCATCATGCTCTCATGCAATGTTCTTGTGCAACATCATCACAAGATGGCTGGCAGGGAAGGCAGTTGTGGGTGATCAGGCCAGCAGGGGAGGGCAATTGGGTGGAATCCAGCTGGTAGGAAAGGGAAGTTGGGGGTGAGATCAGGCTAGCAGGGGAGGGCAGTTGGGGGCGATCAGACCAGCAGAGTAGAACAATTGGGGGTGATCAGGCCAGCAGGGGAGCAGTTAGGTGTCAATCAGTCTGGCAGGGGAGCAGTTAGGGGGCAATTAGGAGCAATCTGGCAGGCAGGCAGGTGAGCGGTAAGGAGTCAGCAGTCTCGGATTGTGTGAGGGATGTGATTAGGCCTAAACTGGCAGTCGGACATCCCTCAAGGAATCCCAGAGTGGAGAGGGTGCAGGCCGGTCTGAGGTACACCCCACTCATGCATGAATTTTTTACACCAGGCCTCTAGTTATTCTTATAATGTCTTAATGTGATACTATCTTTCATTTTTAATTATTGAGAAGTCAGCTGTCAATCTAATTATCCTTTATTTTAGTAATGTGGTGATATGTTTTTCTTTGGTCATGCTTTATTTATTTTTTAATATTTTTATTAACTTTTAGAGAGAGAGAGGAAGGGAGAGGGAGGAAGAGAAACATTGATATGAGAGCAGAACATTAATTGGCTATCTCCTGCTTGCCCCCTACTAAGGATTGAGCTGGAAACCTGGGCATCTGCCCTGATTAGGAATCCAACTTGCAACCTTTCAGTGCATAGGATGATGCTCAATCAACTGAACCACACCTGGCAGGGCTTCTTGGTTGCTTTTAAGAATGTCTTAGTGTCTCTGGTGTGAGTCCCTGTGATATGTTTATTTATTTATTTATTTATTTAAATATATTTTATTAATTTTGTACAGAGAGGAAGGGAGAGAGATAGAGAGCTAGAAACATCAATGAGAGAAAGTCATCGATCAGCTGACTCCTGCACACCCCCCACCGGGGATATGCCCGCAACCAAGGTACATGCCCTTGACCGGAATCGAACCTGGGACCCTTCAGTCCCCAAGCTGACGCTCCATCCATTGAGCCAAACTGGTTTCGGCTCTGTGATATATTTAAATGTGGCTTTATTTTCATTTAACCTGGTCAGGATTGGTTGAGTACTCAGAATCTGAAGATTCGTGTCTCATTATTGATGGAAATTTTCAGTAGTTATATTTTGCTCATATCATATTATACCATATCATATAAAACATAGGAGGTAGAAAGATCCATTTGAAGTTTTTTTGCAATTATAATGTAAGCTATTATCTACTATACTAGTGGCCTGGTGCATGAAATTTGTGTTCATTAAAAGGGGATTAATTAGAGGAAATATTTTAATATTGCTATTTGCCCTTTCTCTACAACAGAAGTGTCAGAGAAGAAAGAAAATTAGTAAAATAAATATGAAAATATTCTTCCTGTCAGAGTCTGGGGCACACCACAGAACCCACAGTCAAGTCCCCACCCACCACATGCTCCTCAAAATTGCGTGAGACCTGGGTCTAGATTCAGCCGGCCCCCCACCATTGGACTAGATCCAGACTCTGCTGGTCTTACCCTTGTAAAACCCCACTGGGTGTGTGTGGGGAAGAGTGCAGCCTCAGGTTCCCTGGCCCAGTACTGGAGTGGGGGGCATGACCTGAGGTCCCCCAGCCCAGGCAGTGCACCTTTAGGTCCCCTGTCAAACTCCGCCGAGTAGGAGACATGGCCTGAGATCTCCTGTCAAGCCCTGACAGGTGGGAGGCATGGCCTGAGGTCCCTGTCAAGCCCTGCCAGGCAGGGAGCACAGCCTCAGGTCCCCCATTAAGCCCTGCTGGGAGGAAGGTACTGCCTGAGGTCTTCTGGCCCAGCACTAGAGTGTGGGGGGCACGGCCTCAGTTCCCCTGGCCTGGCACTGGGGCAGGGGGCACAGCCTGAGGGCCCCCATCAAGCCTTGCCAGGTGTGTGTGTGGGTGCACAGCCTGAAGCCTTGCCAGGTGGGGATGGGGGTGGGGCACAGCCTCAGGTCCCTGCCGATTTCTTGTTAAGGCTCATTACAAGAACTCGGTCTCCATGTGGGTTCAGCCATTTTGTGTTATGATTCCACTGTTGGCGCCACCATTTTTGTGGTGGAGGGATGGTCTTATTTAATATAATGTGTTACTTAAAAATAATTCCCTCCTATACAGTTTCTGGGTAGTTGACCTCATAAGCTTCCTTTTAAAATGTTTTAAAATTTTATAGGCACAAGCTTTTAATAGAGCTCAGTTATTTAAAGTACGGTACTCTCTAAAAGATGTTGAAAACTAGAGTTTCAAGTCTTTATTTAAAAAGGACATTAAGCTTCGTTGAAAAACCAACTGTAGAGAAAAAGATTGCAACAAGGGCCATGGCAATTCCATGGTATCTATACCCCAAGTCTTTCATGCAGTCGGTCAGTGGATATCACACTGATCTGCTGTGTGGACACAAGTATGTCTAGCCTAAGGGTGGGGAGTTGAATCTAGGTCCTGTTGTAAATTTGTTATTCTTGAATAGGAACAGGCCAAGAAGTAACCGGCATGAAGGATTAAGTTGGAATGCGCCTCTCCCCTCCCATACCTCCAACCTTCAACTTCTGGGTTTTGGTTCTTCCTATGATCTATGTTGAGTCCTTGTAAGTTTACTGTTAAATGCTGTCCATGATAGGGCCTTAAAGCTTGGTCTAATGGCAGTGATTTCTGTAGCCCTCTCATGTACTGCCACTGTCATTTCACTGAGTGCTGCAAGTGAACCTTTTCTCACTATCCCTGATCTACCATTCATGAACATCTTACCCGCCAGTTGCTTGAAATATCATATTCTGGAAGATCAGCATATTCATTTCTGTAGATGTCAAGTTGTTTTCTCTGCTCTGCTCCATACAGTTCCAAGAGATTGTCAAAATTTGTAGTCAATACCAGGGCTCCACTTTCATCAGGTGGAAAATTGACTGAAGTAGCTGTTTTCCAGAGTCTTCCATTTTTACTCCAAGCCATTGAATACTTCATATAAACAGTTCTTGAAAAATGTGTATCGAACATTACTAGTATAAGGAGAGTCTCTGAATAGGCAACAACATATTTGTTGTTGATAATTTTTATCTTTATTTTCTTCCTCTTCCTAAAGAACCCCTTTCAGCAATTCATATAATTCTGTTTTGGCAGTGATGAACTCTTTAGCTTTTTTTTATTTGTGAAGCTCTTTATCTGGCCTTCGGTTCTGAGTGATAGATTTTTGTCTCCATGGAGACATTTCTGAAATTTTTTGTGCTCATCTTCTCAAAATCAATGGCAGCATCCTTAAGGTCTGAATTAACCCCTTTCAGGATTTTAGGGCTGGAACCTGAGTTGCAACTGCAGCACTAATGCTTGTTCCAATCACCAGCACAAGTTCCCAAGGCTTCTTACTTTTTAAGATTGGAAGCAGCTTCCTGTGCTTTTTGGTGGGGGCTGCACCATCTCTGAAATATAAAAAAATATTGTCCATATCAGAATTCTGGCTCTATGTAGAAGTCATTCATCCAGTTTTGTGCAAAGAATGAGAATTTCTTTGTCACTGCTTTTCCTCTGATGAAGCTTCTGAGAAGGCATATTCATATCTGCTCCAAATGCTGCAGCTCTAACTCATAAACTCTTTTATTAAAATGATCACTTTTTTGGTTTGGTTGCTGAGAAGTATAGCATTACATATAATACTAATATGTAGTGTCTAAGAAATTAGTATATATTTTTTTGCACATTTTATCCTGTGTATAATTATAAATGATAAATACACATAAGTATTTTTATATTATTAATATGCATTTTACATTATTAATGGTTTGCTTGACCTCTGTTTTTTAAACTATATTCAGAACAATTCTTTGTACCTGTATGCAGTTAATGGATTTATTGGAAAGCTACTGATTGTTATTTGAATGCTTAAGTTTGCAAGATTTATGCTAGTGCTTTAATATAGATTCTTTCATTTTAGAGAACTCAGTTTCCTGCATCTGCTGAATCTCAAAAACCCCACCTGAAAAAAGGTCTGTATACAATTTCATTGTATTTTTGCAGATTTCTCTTATTATTCCTTTTTTCTATATGCATTAGAGCTTCTCAAAATATGATTGTTGATGAAAGCACTATTATTGGGTTCTTCTATTGCTAGTTTTTATTTTATTGGAATTGTTAGATATTGGAAAGTTGATTTTTACCTGTAAATGAGTTTAAGTGGTTTTAAATATGTACTAATTTTCCACTTGTGAAAAAACCACTCTAAAATTCCCATAAGTACATAAGAGACCTCAATAATCTCATGTATATGTTAAATAAATGTGTTTGGTTTTACAAAAATTGAGTCTGGGAAGCCTAACTTGATAAGGACCTATACTGTAAGGAAGTACATTTTATAATCTGATAGGAATATGACATATTTTATTTAGAGGAATAGGTTATCTTCACTTGTTACCTATAATAGTCTTAGGAAGGTTTGCATCAAGTTGTAGGTTAATACAGTATTGGATATTTTCCTATGCCTCAACTTCTTATTTCACCAGGCTATCCTTTCTTTGCAGCATCTTTTCCTATAGTCTGTTAAGAGTTTGAAATTTAATTTATCAATAAATTGTTTAGTTTACTTGGGGCATTTCTGTTATTCTTTGAAATTATAATGTAAGTTAGAAAATCTGATTGCCTTTCAGGAATTTATTTTCAAAGAGTTTTCCAGGATTATATCTTTCATTGAAAGAGCAGTACATATGTAATTTTGATTATTTGTTACATTTAGATGTAATTCTGCCAATTTTGTATAATAAAAGGGTAATATGCAAAATGACCCTAACGGCGGAACAACCAGAATGACAGCTGGACCAGCCACTGTGAGGTGCACTGACTATCTCTTGGTCCTTTTCCCTTGCCAGCAGGCTCTGATTGCCTGATGGTGAATGGGGACTGGGGGTGGGTGGCAGGGGATGCGGGTGACACCAGGCCAAGGCTCCCACCCTGTCAGTCACCCCACACACAGAGGGTGACCCATAGTGGGGGCAGGGCACCTCATGGTGAAAGGGGAACTGGAGTTGGGTGGTGATGGGGGGTGGGTTGAGGAAGATGGCCCTGATCTCAGGCCAGGACTATGGACCATATCCAGGTATGAATTTTGTGCATCGGGCCTCTAGTATCTATACTAATAATAGCCTAAGTGGCGTCACACCCTCATGTCATCACAAGATGGCCCTCACTAGATGGCCGTATGCACAGTGGAGGCAGGTCCCAACAGCCACTTCCCATGGTGAGGCCTGGGAGTCCCACTGCTCTGTGTGGCACAGAGGAGGCAGGTCCCGGTGGAGGAGGTGGGACCAGCAGGGGAGGGCAGTTGGGGGTGATCAGGCCAGCAGGAGAACAGTTAGGTGTCAATCAGATTGGCAGGGGAGCAGTTAGGGGGTGATCAGGCTGGCAGGCAGAAGCGGTTAGGGGCAATCAGGTAGCAGACAGGTGAGTGGTTAGGAGCCAGCAGTGAGAAGCGGCAGGCAGAAGCGGTTAGGGGCAATCAGGTAGCAGACAGGTGAGTGGTTAGGAGCCAGCAGGTTGGAGAGGGTGCAGGCCAGGCTGAAGGACACCCCTCCCCCGTGCACAAATTTTGTGTACCAGGTCTCTAGTCCTATCTAATAAAGAGGGTATATGCAAATTGACCCTCACGCCATTGTAAAAATGGTGGCGCCCACAGCCCATAAGAAGAGAATATACTAATTGACTGTCCTGCCCTGCACTCACAGCCAATAAGAAGAGAATATGCTAATTGACTCCTCTGCCCTCAAAGATGGCAGCATCCACAGCCAAAAAGGAGGGAATATGTTGATTGCCCCAACCTCAACGATGGCAACACCCATCCTACCTAATAAAAGAATAATATGCAAATTAACCACTGGTCTGCTACACCAGCCATACCCACCAGCCAATCAGAGCGAGTATGCAAATAAACCCAACTAAGATGGCTACAGCTACAGAGAGCAGAAGGGAGGTTTGGGTTTCCCAGGCAATGGTGGAAGCCAAGCTTTCCACCTGCCCTTGCGGGGCTAGGCCTCCACTCAAGGCTACAAAGTTTCAGTGATAGACGGTAAACAAATACAAACAGAAATGGCGGCAGCCACAGAGTTGGAAAGAGCAGGAGGCTAGGGTTGCCCCTGGCAATGGAAAAAGCAATGCTTTTCGCACACCCTGGCCGGCCCAGGCCTCCTCTCCAGGCTACAAAGTTTCAATTATAGAAGATACATACCAACAGAAATGGCTGCCAGCCATGGAATGAGCAGGAGGCTTGGCTCCGCTCCAGGCTACAAAGTTTCAATTGTAGAAGGTAAATTCCAGATAACCAGGACCTCCACTTGGGTCACCAGGGGCTGTGGCTGGCCTGCAAACCACCACAGGCTCCTCACTCAGGCCACTCCACGCCCCATGGGAACCCCCACCCTGATCCAGGACACCCTTCAGGGCAAACCAGCTGCCCCCACCTGTGCACCAGGCCTCTATCCTATCTAAGAAAAGATTAATATGCAGATTGACCATCACTCCAACACAGAAGATGGCTGACCCCATGTGGTCAAAGATCCTGCCCCCATGCATACACAAGATGGCCACCACAAGACGGCCAGCAGGAGAGGACAGTTGGGAGGAACCAGGCCTGCACGGGAGGACAGTTTGGGGTGACCAGGCCAGCAGAAGAGGGAAATTGGGGACAAACAGGCTGGCAGGGAATGGTTAGGGGGTGATCATGCTGGCGGGCAGAAGTGGTTAGGGGCAATCAGGAAGGCAGGCAGGCAGCAGTCCTGGATTGTGAGAGGGATGTCCAACTGCCCATTTAGGTCCGATCCAAGTGGGCAGGCCTAAACGGGCATTCGGACATCCATAGAGGGGTCCCAGATTGGTGAGGATGCAGGCTGGGCTGAGGACACCCCACCCCCAACCCTGTGCACGAATTTTGTGCACTGTGCCTCTAGTAGCCAATAAGGAGGAAATATGCTAATGGACTGCCCTGCCTCAAAGATGGTGGTGCCCACAGCCAATAAGGAGAGAATATGCTAATTGACTGACACTCTCAAAGATGACGGTGCCCACAGCCACAAGATGGCTGCGCCCAATCCTCTCAGCCCCACTGTGTGCCTGCCTCTGGAGTCCCCCAGTCACCCAGGGCCACCTGAGGCTCAGGTAACCTGAGGCTCAGGGATGGCTGATGCTTGCACTGCTGGCAGTTGCAGCAGCAGAGATGTGATTGGTTGTGGCCTTCTCCTGATCATGGGATCGCCTCCTGCCCCTGAGGGCTCTAGGACTGTGAGAGGGCATGCTGGGCTGAGGGACCCCCCCTCCAGTACATGAATTTTCATGCATGGACCTCTAGTTTAACATAATTGCTAATATTTTTATACTATTTCTGGGCATGAGAAATAATCTTTTTATGATATGTGTTACTTCATTCAATCACCAGGATAATTTGGCTAGTTAGGTGGAGGTAGTGGTATTATGATTATCTCTCCATTGTTCTTTCCACACTTCCTCTAGAGTCAAACCCAGAGGTTTCATTGATTTCTAGACTGGGAGAACTGTGATTAGTATATACCAGTCAAGAATTGGCCCATGCCCAATCTACATTAATAAGATAAAAAGTTTATAGCTATGAGGAAAAGAGATACAAACTGTGCTATAAAATTTATTAGTCCTGTCCTGCCCCTTCTCATTAGTTCTTTCTCCCTTCTTCACTACAAAGCAACTGCTTTTTTATTTCTGTTATTGAAGTTTAGAATTTCCTGTTCTTGAACCTCATGAATACTTTTTACTAGATTCCAGGACTAGTGATAGGTGTTTAGAATACAAATATAAATAGGGCATTGATTCTGCCCTCAGGATTGACAGTCTTCAGGGTATCTCATATAATAAAAGCTAATATGCTAAGTGTCCAATCATTCATTTGACTGGTTGACCAGTCTCTATGATGTGCACTGACCACCAGGAGGCAGACACTCTGACTGGTAGGTTAGCTTGCTGATCGGGATTGGGTGAGACAAGCTGTAAACACCCTGAAGTCCTCTCATGGTCCCTTCAGAGTTGGTCAACCTCCTATGGTCCCTCCCTGGCAAGCCGGCCCCAGCTGGGACTAGGTGAGATGGCCAGACACGCCCTGAACAAGTCTGTGCACAAAGCCTCTAGTATAGAGTATAAGCTAATAATTAAAGTTCAGTATATGCTTCCTAAGCCCCTTCTTTTGAAGGTTAAACATTTCCAGTTTTTCTCAACTCTTCACATGAGATATTTAGAACACTTTGCTATTATTGCTTTTGTTTTCTAGTGAAATGTGTTGGTACCCTAGGAAGTATAGAATTCAGGACTAAGTAGAGTATTCTAGATGTGGTGTGAATGGAGCCATATGGAATGTCTAGAAGATAAAATCTCTTCACCTGCACTTTTTATTTATGTTAGCCCAGCTCAAAGTTGCATTGCCTTTTGGGCAACCATTTAATACATTTGCAATACAACTGCATTATTACACAGTGGCAGGAGTATCATTCATCTAGACTGCAATAAAAATGATGCTTTGGAGTTGTGCATGGAGGTGACACTGGCCCCTAAATTATCGAGGTAATAACAACATGCTCTTAATCTTCCCTTAATTTCTGACTCCCATAACCCATAATTTAATATATTGATATGGTGGATTACATTGAATTTTGGAATGTTGTATCAACCTTGCATTTTGGGATAAATCTCACACAGTCACGATATAGTAATTTTTTCATATATGGTCGGATTCAATTTGCTAATATTTTGTTATTGATTTCATACTTGTGTTCATGAAAGTTGTTGGTCTATAGTTTTTATTTTTTGTGATGCTTTTGTCTATTTTGGGTATCAGGGTTATGCTGGCCTCAAACAAATTAGGAACTATTTTCTGTCCTATTTCTTGGAAGATTTTGTATAGAATTGATATTATTTTGTTTTTAAATGTTTGCTAGAATGTGATAGTGAAGTAATCTGGGCCTGAATTTTTGTTGTTGTTGTT